TTGTCTTTTTTTTTACGTAAAATATTATAAAGAGAAAATAAATATAATTATAACACTGCGATATTTTTTAACATCGCAATTGAATTGTACATATTTTCTAATGCTTTCACAATATCTGTTGAATGTGTAGTTATGATTTTAGTTAAGTTTTTTTAGTTGAGTCTAAATATGAAAGTATCACGTCAAAAACTGTCGAATGATGAAATTATTCTGATCTCAATTGGTGTGAGAAATATAATAATCATCAACGCAAACAAATTGAAACAAACGAGAAATTCACGATGTTAGGAAATTGATCGAAATCAACCATCACTGGCATGCTCTTGTTTGTTGCAGACGGTGCAGCATGGTTTCCCGAACAAACCAACCGCTCTCGCCTGGGATCCGAGTCTGCGGGTGATGATCATCGGCACGGCATCCGGCGCCATCAAAGTGTATCCTTTTGCTTTTCTTGCTCCTTGCCTTCGTGTCTACCCTCGCTTCTTTTTCGTTTCGTATTTATAATCTGATCTGGAGGGAGAAGGCGGGCAACCATGCTAAAAGTCGATGATATCTGTATTAAAATCTATTAATTCTTTATTTCTTAGAAAGAAGAAATACGAGAAGTTTCAATTCTTAAATAACATGTGCATATATATCGTATCGATATAAAACATTATTGTGATGTCATAAAAATCAGCTTTTGATTTTTTTTTATGACGTTTTTATTGGCGAAGTAGGAAAATGCGTTTCGTAATGCGGAGAGCGATTGCTTAACAAAGACTCCATAAATCAATTGTGATTTATTTTACAAACTCGCACTCGGTTAGAACTTGGCATTATTTGAAATATAGTTGTTCTTAATTGAAGGAGATCGATGTAAGAGCAATCTTTCTAACTTAATTTTTTGAAAAGATTTTTGAAAAGATTAATCTAAATGTAATTTCTGAATTTTAATTTTGCCAAATTCTTGCAAAATAAAGGGTTAGATTACTGTCGCATTGAATTATTCAATTAAGAATGAACTATATTTGCATAATGCAGGATTCAGTCGAAATATCGATTGTTTGCGAAAATATCTATGTAGTGCAACATTTGATTGAAATGTTCGACTGCAAAGGACTGCTGACGAGTCTGACCAGTTTTATTATATGTTTATTTCAGTCACACAATATTTCGTAATTGTTTTATATTAAGAAAGTCGACAATCGTACAATTGATGAAAGATTGAAGCTTCAGTCGTTGATAAAATTAAGAAAAAGGTCAGCGCGAATTCTGGTTTGTAATACTTCGGTGCTCTCATTTCCCGACCTTGTATTGTCGCCACTTACCTAATCCATACACGTGCACACACACATATAGAGATTATCGATCCAACAAAAAGCCCATTTACAATATTAACCGGAAATTGTATCGAGCCACACCGTATTTCAAATTTATCGCCGATACAAAAATTTGCACTTTTTCAATTTTTAGAAAAGTAATTTGAAGATTTGTATGTAAATTGATGTGGCACTATCAAAAAAATAAAATGTAATTTAGTAAAAAACATAAAACGAACTATTTGAGGAATATGCGGTTTAAGAATTATTTTATCGGTTTACAGAGAGAGAGAGAGAGAGAGAGAAGTTTGCACACTTTTTCCTGCTTTTGTGAATGTTATTAAGCGGAATGTTAGATATGTCGAAATGTAATCAACACGTCAGCGAGTCTCGGCAATTTAATGTCTGTTTAATATTGTGCACGCAGAGTCGGCAGATGCTTCCAAGGACTATGTAATCGCCAGATAATCGTTATTATTTCGCAATAGATATATGTATACACGATTATCTCTCTGCATGGCACACCTCGCGTCGAGAAAACCTTCGAGTACGCATAACTGCGATACGCGATATCATGTTTTAATCCGACATACAAACGTACGCGCTATATTTGAACCTAATCGCGAATCTCTTAAACTTTTTCCGTAGCTTGAAGCAACTTGAACGACGATACTTTATCTATTTTTCGTTTTTAGATACGATAATTTTCTATCGGATCTCAGCAGACCTACAAACATATTGCTATATAATGGATTAAAATGTAGTTAAAAAGAAACTGGCATGAAATTGTTTTAATTCGAATAAAGCGTTTTAGTTAGAATAAATGCGGGCAAATCTTGATTGTAAGTTACCATTGCGGTCGCAGAAAATATTGATCAAAAGCAAAAAGTAGGTGATGGCTTGGTGCTAAATAAAATACTGCGCAATGTTAGAATATTAAATTCAGCAACGAAAATTTTCTTATTTGATTAACAAATACTTTGAGAAAATTAGAATTATAGAAAAATAATTTGGTGTGAAAATTTTATTGAATCGTATAAATTTATTGTCGTGATTTAAATTGTGTATTTTTTAATTTGGATATAAATTTGAGAAAAATTATACGAAAATATAAGTTTATGATATTATGCAAAAAATTAGTTTATTCGCTAATGACATGCTTGTATAGTGAAGAATTCGATACAAAAGAATAGTTTAATCTTATTTTTTTGGTTTAAAAACTATAGACAAAATTAATTTTCTCTTAATTTCAAAATACTCTTAATTTATTTTCTTTAAAAACGAATACACAATTGTTGTTGGATTAAACTCTTCAACAAAATTATAATTTTAAAAATAGAGAAATAAAATTCAAGTAAATTCAAGTAAATTTTCTTTCAAAATCATTTAAAATATAGTTTGCGATTATGCAAATATGCATTATCATTATCAGCCCGATGACATTATAATTTTGTTCCATTCATCGCGAAATACGCTGCAAAATTCGCAAAGTGTGCAGTTATATATATTCAGCAGCTACATATATTCAGCAGCTACATATTTCTTCGAATGTAATCTTTACTTACTATGTCAGCACATTAAATTGACCATTCCTAAATTCGGAGTCCGCGAGTTTCATCTCATACGTGTGTCACTTCACTGCGTCAGCGTTTTACACATGTTTATACTATATTATATAATCTTTTTTTTTTAAATTCCTTCACTCGACCATTAGTTTTGGAAGACCAGGCGTAGAATTTTATGGACAACATTCCGTCGAAAGTGGTGAGAATGCCGTCACGAAGATCATCCCACTGCCGAAAGAGGTAAGATAATTGATATGTTAATTATACATATATGATTGCATTATTATTCTAAACTTTAGTACTTATAATAAAAGTTTATTCTGTAATAAGTTATGTGTGCACGATGGTTTTTTGTCACAAGTTCCATAAGAAGTATAATTATGGAATATATCCGAAATGAATGGAAATATTTTGGATATTTTTGGTTCTGGAAAATGTTTGATATAGGTACAAAATTTAAATTAATATATAAATTATATATATCACATTTATAAGATACATTATATTGATTATATCTATTGAGATTTAATAACTTTCTAAAAAGATTTTATCTTAATTAATTTTTGAAATTTCTATATCTCAATAAATGTCATTCTTTCATTTATCTCGAGTAATAAATATTTTTAGATTTGATTCGAATTTTCGATTAATTCTATAAAATTACACGCATCACACCAACAATACAATACGATACCATGTTTCACTTATATAGCAACTGTAGTTGATTGCATAATCCGGACACCGTACAATGTGCTTGTGCACGCATGTACGGATAAGAAATACACGAGTGCAACGACATTACGATGCATCGCAATTAATGCTACGGCATAAAATGTATGGGGCCATATATGAAAAAAAAACTTTCTTAGTGTATACATATATACGCATTCCTGAATATCCAATTATTCTTTTATTAATATACAAATGTTTACCTGTGTAAACTTTTAAATGATGCTAACGTGATGACAAATAGTGGACAGAGTTGTTATTAAATACATATTGGAGTTAATTTACGTGTAATTAGATGTTATTCTTTCTATGTGATTTTTTCTATGTTATTTAATATTTATAACAATAGATTTAAATAGAGAGAACTCATAAAATTAATCGTGTCGAATTGCAATTTAAGTGTTGTTATAAATATATGTTTATATATCTTTTTTATAGACTATACACACACACACACACACATTAATAATTATAATCAGTAATAAAATTATTTTAATATATTTTTTTTTAATAAAAAATATGTTTTAAAAAATCTGTTATAAAAATTGATTATTACATAAAACATAAATATTGAAAGCAGTTATTAGAAAATTTTTATAGATTGCAAACTCTCAAAATTTGTCTAAAATTGACGATTTTTTTATTGGGAACGTATATATGTATCATTTTTCATTATATATTTAAAGGTGTAGCTTGTTAATAGAATTGCGTTAAATGATTGCACAATGATACAAGCAACATTGTCCGTTATCACGATAAGCAGTTTCAAGTAAATCTTGAAACTGATAAGATAGGAGTTTGCCCTATGATAAAGATCTACCATTAGCTTTCATTACATTTTATACTTATTGTCCTTAAAATTGCAATTTTTTTAAATTAAAAGTTTTACATGTGTAATTGTCTTCATACATAAAATAATAATCTTGATCTTGAAGCATGTATATAGAAATAAAGATACTGATTGATCTTGACATTGCTTCAACTCATGTTCGCGTGCACCGCGATAATATTTAAAAAAAAGTAAAAACATTTTTTTTTAATATTATTTTATGATCGATTTATGGTATACCATATATTGCAGGGTCGCCTCGTGTCCTTGTGCGATGATAATTCGCTACATTTATGGGAGATCAATGAATGTTCTATAGTGGAAACGAAGTCATTGTCATTGGAGGGTAAATTGAAGAAGATCTCCGCGATATGCCTCGAATCTAACGGGAAACATCTTTTATTGGGAACAGAAGGGGGCAACATCTATTTGCTAAACTTTGAGACTTTCGTCATGCCGGACAATATTATCTATCAAGATGTCGTGATGCAAAAGTAAGTGATTAAATTAAAAGTTTTGCATCTATTATTTTTATATTTGACCTGAATTTTTATTATTTTATTTTTATATTTCGAGCTAAACATGCCAACAAGATCGTGCAGAAAACTTTGTCTGTTATCATAAAAAATTTCATTGTCACAATTGAAAGAAACTAAAAAATATTAATAAAAGAAAAGATATACTAACATTACTTTATATATAATAGATTATACTTTAATGTCTGCGTGTATACACACTAAAAATAATTTATTATAAAATAATTGTAATATATTTTCTCTTTTATTAATATTTTTTAGTTTCTTTCAGAGAGTTTTGAATTTTTAGTAATACATATTCAATACATATTCTTTGAATTATAAATTATCTGAAACAAAAAAAAATAGTTACTGTATATAAAAATTATTAAGCTATCCTTGTCGCTTAGCGTTCCGGAAGACTACAAGAAAAATCCAGGAGCAGTTGAAGCCATAGCCGAGCAGCCAGGACATCCGGATAATATCCTAATCGGTTACAATCGAGGTTTAATGGTGCTATGGAACAAAGCCACTCCAGGAGCACAACAGGTAGATGTTATATGTCTTTACGTATACACGATCACACTTTGGCGAATGCAATATTCACACGCTTACACGCTTTCCCCAAATCAACATACTGTAGGTCAATGTTTAATCCTGCTAGCCCGTTCGTTTCCGATGTACACTTGATTTTTATATTAATACAATTATTTATATTTTATGTGATATTACTTGGATATAAAAATTTGTTTTAATATTTTATAAACACATTTCCAAAAAGTGGAAAATTAACGAATTTATAAAATTTAAAAGTATTAAGAAAAATGTAAAAATTATTAAATTACAATTAAATCTTATGCATTTTTTTTTAAATTTTACATTCATAATGTATACTTTTTTCTTGAATATGTTTTATACAAGACAGATCTTAGAGTCGTGCGTGCCTTAAAAAGACTTTTCTTCTTCTAATTAGAAAAATAAAAAATAGGAATATTAAGTTTTAATCTAATAACTCTTTCATCTTACTAAAAGCAAAAAGTTTTTTTATTGCGTTATGAAAAACGAAAATTAGTTAACGTGGAATCGAATGGGGAACAGCAGAGTTAAGAACGGATTGTGTGATATGGTATCGCTCGTTCTGATTGTCGTTTGTGTCTTTGGTGGTCTTTGGTGGAACGCGCAGCTGATGGGTTTGTTTTCGCGTGCGCAGACATTCGTCTCCACGCAACAGCTGGAATCGGTCCACTGGATCTCCGAGAATCGCTTTGTCTCGTCGCACAATGACGGTTCGTACGCGTTTTGGAGCCCGGGTAGCGACGCCGTGCCGGAGCCCACGACACTTTACGGCCCGTTCCCGTGCAAAGCCGTCACTAAGATCCTCGTATATCCTACCGCTGAGTAAGTCATTTAGCGATTAAATAATACATTTCTCTCATTTCTTCACATGAACTCAACTGAATTTTGCGTTTTTCCGTAGACACGGCGATCTCTTCCTATTCTCCGGTGGTATGCAACGTGCCAGTTACGGAGACAGACATACGATCACTGTCATGACCAAGGATAAACACTTAGTTTTCGACTTCACGTCTAAAATCATCGACTTTTTTACCGTTTTCCCCGAGGAAGAAGAAGGAGGAAATAATGAAAGCCCTGTTAGTCCGGAAGCGCTCATAGTATTAGCCGAGGAAGAAGTAGTAGCTATCGATTTGACCAATTCCGAATGGAAGATGATGCCTCTGCCTTATTTAGTATCTCTTCATGCGAGTGCGGTGAGTATCCTTTATCAAAAAAGAAGAAACTAACAGTAAAGAAAAAAAATCACGCTATAATAGATATGAAGGTACAAACAATTCTTGTATATCGTAGGTGACTTGTTCTCAACACGTGCCCAATGTATCCGAGGAACTTTGGGAGGCAATCGTAGCTGCAGGTAAAGCACAAACGGAGCATCTTTACTCGGACAAAGTGTGGCCCATCAACGGCGGAAATTTCCTCTGTCCGATAAATCTTAATAAGTCTAAGAACAGAGAACTATTGCTTACCGGACACGAGGACGGTACTGTGAGGTTTTGGAACGCGTCCGACGTTTCTCTGACTCCACTGTACAAATACAACTCGTCGATTTTGTTCACCGGCGAGCATTTGGACGTTCTCGAGCAACCGCCAGAGGACGACGAAGATGAGTGGCCACCGTTCAAAAAAGTGGGAATCTTCGATCCGTACTCTGACGATCCGCGACTCGCCGTGAAGAAAGTTCTTCTTTGTCCTTTATCCTCGACGTTGGTGGTTGCCGGCACGGCCGGTCACGTTATTGCCGCCACCATCTCCTCGGAACCGGTGAACAAAGAGATAAAAGCCGTTACTATGAACATCGTCAACGATCGCGACGGATTCGTGTGGAAAGGCCACGATCATCTGCCGCCAAGAACAACGAGTATATCGTTCGCGGTCGGATTTCAACCACAGAGTCTTCTCCAGTTGTATCCACCAGCTGCCGTCACGGCATTGGCGTTGCACAGCGAATGGGGTCTGCTCGCCACCGGTACGGCGCACGGACTCGCGGTCTTTGATTATACTAGATCAAAGGCCGTTAGTGTCAAATGCACGCTTAATCCAAACGGTACGTAAAATATTAAGATAATACGAAGTTGTACTTCTGCCTTTTCTTGCTTTTTTTTTGGTATATCAATACTAAATGCGAATAAATATATTGCTGTTCTAATATTTTTACAGATCTCTCCGGTGCAGGTGACACTCCTATCTCTCGGCGAAAGTCATTTAAAAAGTCTCTTAGGGAATCTTTCAGAAGATTGAGAAAAGGACGTTCGCAACGTAGAGCGAACGCTAATAGTCCCACACGAAATACTGTACCGGAAAAGAAGAAAGAAAGGTAAGATTAATCATTAACTCAGAATGCATAAAGAAAGCAATATATAACTATTAAAATTTAGTACCAGTGTTGCTTCTTCGCCGAGCGGGGATTTATCACCAGCGGTGGAATTAAAACCAATAGAGAGACAAGTGGAAGCGAGACCTGTTGACGACGCTTTAGGCTCTATGGTCCGATGCCTGTACTTTGCCAGAAGTTACATTATTAGCTGTTAGTATCTTTTACTTTTTTTGAAAAATATAAAGTCAACAACAATGATACAAAATTAACTCAGTAAATTTGTTTGTACAGTACAAAATACAACACCTACACTTTGGGCGGGCACCAATAACGGCACAGTTTACATCTTCACGTTGGCTATACCAGCCGGTGCGAGAAGAACGGAAGAGGACGTCAACTGTACACTCGGTAAGGAGATACAATTGAAGCATCGTGCACCCGTAATTGCGATCACGATCCTTGATGGATCCAGCGTACCGTTACCGGAATCCTACGAGGCCGAGAAGAACATGGTGTCTGCGCCTGATATGACTTCCCCACACAGAGTTGTAATCGCTAGCGAGGAACAGTTCAAGATCTTCAATCTTCCATCCCTAAAGCCGCACTGCAAATACAAGTTGACCGCTCACGAAGGATCTAGAGTGCGAAAGACAGGTTTCGCCAAGTTCTCGTGTTCTGTCGAACCAGAGGGGATTCATGAAGAAACTTGCTTACTCTGCTTGACGAATCTTGGCGATTGTCTGGTGCTGAGTATACCGGAACTGAAGAGACAATTAAACGCCGCTGCGATCAAGAGGGAGGACATTAAGTGAGTGATCTATATTTAGTATATTTTAATTGACAAAAATGGTTTGCAAATAACGTGTATTTTTTATCTTTCAGCGGTATTTCTTCTTTAATATTTACAAAAGCCGGAGAAGCGTTGTATCTTCATTCGAGTTCGGAGCTCCAACGAATTTCCCTGTCAGCCGGGAAAGTAACAAAAGCGCATTGCGTGCTCAATTTACCACCGCATGCTAGATCGTTGACAGAAAGGACGGAAAATATTAACGAAGTCGCACAGGAACAGGGTGTTGTTGAGGGAGTGCCTGAAACCGAAGGAGAGACGCAAGAGAGTCAACCACCGATAGCGAACCGAGTTATCACGGAAAATGGCATAGTAGGTGCCAGTGAGTATACTGAATCTATATGATCTATCCTACATATATCCTTTATAAACAGTAAAAAAAAAAAAAAACAAATGTACAATATTTTTTATACACACCGCAATAGAATACATCTCACCAGCTTTTGTGTAAACGCGATTGCTAAGATGTGTAACCCTGCTTGGCACACTTTGTATAACCAGTCGCATATATTTGTGCATTTGTCCATGTTTGAAACCTAATTATAATTGAACCATTGACTGAATTTGCTATTTGTGTTAATTAACAAGATTAGGGAATGTCGTTATTTGTAATAGTGCCATTTAGTGTCGATGTGAACGCATGTCTTTTAGCTGGGGAAGAAGAATCTCCGAAGGAACCGTCGCTGCGACCGGCTATAAGTAGTATAGACGTAAATGGGGATGACGATCGTCAGGATTTAAGTTCTATCGGAGACATTACAATCGACAGTGTTAAAGATCATTTACTGTAAGTTCAGTTGATATTTTATTTACGACAATTTATTTATAATTTGCTTATATGTGCAATAAAATATTTTTTTTTTTTTTTTTTAATCTTTAAGTTTAATGGACTGCAGTATTTAGTTATATTACTTTATATGTACTATATATACATATTAATTTGCACATGTAAACATATTGCATGGCTCGATAGTTTTTTTCACCGCTGTATTAATTAATGCGTGTTCGACGTACTTGCCACTTTTGGCAGTAACAGTTCACTTTTCAGAAACGCAACGTCTTCCGAAGAGCTCCACAATCGTTTGGCAGGGCTTAAGATGGAGGTCACTTCACGAACTTCTGAGGTATCTACGCAGAATCAATCATTAGTGGTGAAAACTACCACTGTGGTTACTCAAACTACAAATAGCACGACTGCTAATGGCGAAGTCGAAACGAGTCAAGCCAATGAAACACAACACATAAACAGTAAGTGAAATTACAATCGATATAGACATGATCATATCTTGATCATTTAATTATTAGACTATATTGATAATCCATAAAAAAGGTTTTTAGTACACTTACGTGTAACAGCTTATTATAAGGGGTATTTTGCACGATTAATCGAGTATTTTCTAAATCATCACACAAATTTTATTGATTTTTCAGATTCACTAATTCGATGATGAAAATTCACATATTACATTGTATAATTAATCATATTGTCTTCGTCTTCCAATGCTTTAATAATTTTTGTTTCGTCCTTTCCACTTTTGCGTTATTACGTTATATTAATTATTTTTATCATTGTTTTGTTTGTGGCATTTGTTTTATTGCGCAGGCACTACGGTAGAACGAGAGATACGCAGCGGTATCGAGACAACAACAACACACGCTACCATCACTCTACCCCCGAACGTCGAGGTCAGCAAACGGCACTAAATATTACAATTAATTGGTGTCGGTCGTTGCCTCGATATTAATCTCTTGTTGATGCTTTAGCACCTAGTGTTGTGTGCCATTAACAAATTGATCTCCTGCTATTAAGTGCACCAGCTTTTAATTTGTTTGATTTTGTTCATTCATTCCCCGCTGCTCTCTCTCTCTCTCCGCTCCTCATGCAATATTCATTAACAATTGACTAATTACACTAAAGTAGATATAAAGTTTATAATTACTATATTAACTCTTATTTTTCTTTTTTATTATCTAAAATATATCTTTTTCTTTCTTTCTCTCTCTCTCTCTAAAGAGACAAATAAATATTTAAATATCACAGATTAGTGCTGCGGACTTGGCCAACTTGGAAGTCACTACGACTACAGTGACCACTACTACAGAAAGGTCCAAGGCACCGTTAGCTAGGCCAGAGGAAGTTGGTTCATAGGCCTGTTCCATATCCATTTCTCTACACTGACCATGCATCGATTTCGCGCTCCTTTTACAGAGCCATCAGTAATTGATTATTCTTATCTAACCAACGTGTACACAGCGGCGATATAAATAGGATTAATATATCGTAGATTTTTTTAAAAAGTCTAGATTTCTACGCAGCATTTTTAGCGTTTAATCATGCACGTTGCGTGAGCGATGAGTGGTTAAGTTTTAATGTAAACTTTATGCATTTCTCATTGACATCCATCATTGCATTCTACTTGAAAGTATTCCAAATGAGTAACTTTTGGAATTGGCGAAGAATCAATGATTTTTAACGAAAATAGGCCTAGAAACTTTTTATTTATCCTATGATACAAGAGATAGCTAGACATTCTCGCTATGTTTTCCTTTAGAAATTTTAAAATTTTAATTAATCGAAAACTCGAAAGTTTTTTTGGTTAAAGGTACCGTATATATCAAAACATCAAATTTTACAATAAACTTAGAAGACTTTTATCATAAAAATTATTCTATCGTTTTATACGGCCGATTTTAATGTTTATTAATTTAATGATAAATATGATGCATGTGTGATCTACAATTATACCGATGCATACGATCAGTATAATCGTAGACTTTTGAAAAAAAGATTATAATTTATCGAGATAGGAACGACAACATCACAAATCGTGAATTATTATGGCAGCCTTAAATTTATTCTTTATACGTTATTTTATATATTTCTAATTATTATATAAACTCACGACTTAAGCTATCCACAGTATTTGAAATGTTTCGGCTGTCTTGTGAATTTTTCACGAGCAGAAGTATGTAACTTGTGGTGCGATATAAAAAGATGCTTCAAACAAGGAAAAAAATATAGCTACTTAAGTAGAATTATATATTTGACGAACAATTAAGGAGATTAAGCATGGCGCGAACTTAAGGAGGAATATCTGTCGATGAGAACGCGTTAAAAATATATTTTTTATCGATGTTGCTTAATCGTTAAGTTTCCTCTCTTCGTTATATCGAAGAGTATGTAATCGAAATTCTCGAATACTCGGGAACGCTTAACATACATATTATGATACCGATATAGTTACTTTATTGTTGCATTTATTCACAGCCTTTTCTTTCTAGACAGAATAATCGCATGGATTAGTCTTTAGCGATGGATAATTGCTGCAAAATGCGTTTCTGCCTTGTGTTACTTCATGAATTCTTACAAAGATACTATACATATCGTTTTTACATCGATATATTCATAGCTTGCCTTTGCAATGCAGGAAAGCACCAATTATACTGAATATCTTATAATTTTGATCTCAATAGAATTGTCATGGGAATAGTATAGTTCATGTTATATCTGGAAATTGTCTTTTCTCTAACCATATGTCGATAATTTTACAAAATTGTACAAAAAACGAATGCTAACGAATTCGAAGTGTAACAGACTGATGGAGGTACATCGTAACCCTCCTTATCAATCGCATATTTGCATTAACTTAATTCTCCTTTTAAAACAACCGATTAAAATTTTAATCGATGAAAATTTCAATTTTAAACATGTATTGACGCTAATACTGATTATTACTTAATGCGATAAAGATAAGTTTTAATTTTTGTATAGGTTTTATCTCTCCTTTTTAATTTCATAATTTCTCTTATTCACGATTGTTTATTGATTTGATTTTATTTTATACTCTAAAGCGCGCATAATGTATTGTCATATCTCGCACATCCATGCTTCAAAAGAAACAAAAAAGAAAAGATATGTTGAAGTGGATTTCAATCAATTATAATTTAGAAGTATAATTAATGATTCTTCATTTTATTGAATGAACGCCGAGTTTGCTGAGATATGTACACTTATAACATTGTAAATTGTTTTTTACTTTGATAAAGTAATGTATAGTATACACAAAATATGAAATTGATAAAACACTGCCCCCCTGAAACTTTCCTATCCAGTACTGTTAAATACTGATTGTAACATGTCTTATATATTGAATGCCTATTACGAGAAAAATATATAAATAATTATTGCTGTATTTTCTATTTCAAATTGTGCTATATTATTTATTCTCCTAGATTGCCTTTTTAGGTGACTTGCTTCAATATACATCTTTGTACTTTTTACAATCTATGATTTGCAACAGAATTTATTGTTATATCCTAAGGAGAATATTATGTAAATAATATTATATAAATAGAAAATTCTATTTTATGCTAATCAAAATTCTTTTTCAATTAGGATACTATATATGAAGTATCTGTGAATTTGATGAGCTTGAATATATGTGCAAATAAAAAGGAAACTTGTCTACATATATGACGAATAAAATATTACTTTTATGATTTCTATATATATAAAATACATATATTTAAGAAGCAACATGGTAATCATAATCAATTATGTATGTATATATATAAAACTTAATATTTTTGAAAAAATGCGCGCTGGATTCTAATTTTTATGTAGATATCTTTCTATAAGTAAATTTTTCTATTCGAAATTAACTGCGGTTATTATTTCGTGCATTTTTCAAACTTTTAAATATTTTATATAACTACAATATATATAATATATATGACTACATATATATATATATATGTATATATAAACGAGTATGAAGTTGGCGAGGGGATTGAGACGGGAGTACCTAAGAAACATCTGTTTCCTCGAACGTTGCTATAGGGCGCGCTAGTGAAGTGAACGCCTTCCGAAGCAACGTGAAACGAGGACGCCCGCCACCACACAATCTTCCCACTTTTTCGCCTTCGTTGGGGAAAAAGTAGGAAAAACCCGTAAAGTACGTAGGATCGCGAAGACGCCATCGCGATTGGTTAGGCGTATTCTCGATCGCGCTTCGTCGTCACCGGTCCTGCAGATGCCATATCGTGACGCGCGCGCTTCCATTGGTCGTCGTGCTCGTGCAATCGGATCGACATTTATCATAGAAGAGATCCGATCTTCCTGCCGTCCACGACAGGGTTCTCGCGCGCGCGTTACGTTCACCGAATTTCGTCACGACGTCACGAGCACCTCTCCCCGTAAGGGGCAAGTCTCTCGATACACCTCGTCATCCTCCCCCGCCGTTCTCCTACCTACCTACCTCGCGACGCAGTCGCAGCGCCGTCAACAACAACGTGAACAACGGCGAAAGCGACGTGCAAGCTACGCGAACGCAGCGCCGCCGTCATCAGCGCGACCGCCATCGCAACGAGGTGCGCTATTCCGTTCACTTCGCGACGAAGCCACGAAGAAATGCCCGTAGGTTCGAGATCGATCAATCCGAGTTCCTGTACGACGAGCATGGAGGTATCATCGCGATCGAGCCTGTAACGGGCGTGCTGTTACGAGCGAGCTCAGCACGCGGTCGTTGTCGTCGTCGCGGCGAGCGAGCATTGTATCTCGCACTCCACGCTCGCGTCGGGTCAGCTGCTGCTTACTTCGCGCTGCCTCCGCGCTAGGTTGTCGGTGTGTGTGTGTGTGCTTGTGTATTAAGTCGCCTCTCCCCGTAGCCGCGATCGTGACACTTTTCACCGAGGTGCGCCGCCCAGGCTTGTGTATACGATGGAGCTGCGTGTTGGTAACAAGTACCGGCTCGGACGGAAAATCGGGAGCGGCTCCTTCGGCGACATTTACCTAGGTAAACCCCCCGCGCGCGCGAGTTCCTCGCCAAAGCGCTTGCTACTCGATACCGTCCTCTTTCTCTTTCTCTTTCTCTCTCTCTCTCTCTATACCCTTTATCCTCTCCCCTCCCTCATCCCTCCCGTTTACAGCGGATTTCGTGTATTTCACGCACGAGAGCGTGAAATTCTCCGCGCGCTAACTCTTACATTTATTCCTCACTTTCCTTCCTTTTCTTTTCTTCTTATTTCCTGTTCTTCTACTTGTCTTCTTTCTTTGTCTTCTGTTCCTTCTTTATTCTGTATCATATAGATTTATATGTGTGTATGTGTAAATGGACAGTCTTATTGTTAGCATTTCTTCTTTATATATATATACATATATTTGCAGGTACCAATATTTCTACGGGTGAGGAAGTCGCTATCAAATTAGAATGCATAAAGACACGACATCCGCAACTACACATAGAATCCAAGTTTTACAAGATGATGCAAGGAGGTGGTAAGTAGATCAATATTTCCATGTATATTACATATGAATGTTTATTCTGTAATAGAAGCTATCACATGTTCTTGTTTATTAGACAGCTGATCCAATATCTTTTCTTTTATATCAGTATGGCATATTGTATATTTCTTATGTCTGTTTATTTTTGTATTTCTTTACAGTTTGAACATATTGAAAGGTTAAATTTAACAACAGTGTAGAATAACTATTAACACTTTAATTAAAAATAAAGACTACACACAAAGAAATATTTATAATAATGAAAAGTATACAAATATATATTACACATTTTGAAAAAATGTTATACAATTTTCATTATTTTAGTCATTAAATAATGCTTTTACTGTGATTATTTCATCACTTTCACCAGCAGTATAGTTTCATAATACTTATTAAAATACAATATTCTCTCTGTGTATATATGTGTAATATAGTTACTTTGTATTATAATTATAATCTTTAAGGTTTGTTATCTTTTTTCCTCTGATCATAAAGAGCTATAAATTAAGAGCTATAATGATATAATTTCATATTCTTAATATTCTAGTTGGAATACCAACTATAAAATGGTGTGGTTCGGAAGGTGATTATAACGTAATGGTAATGGAATTACTTGGGCCATCACTGGAGGACTTGTTTAATTTTTGTTCAAGACGTTTTACTCTGAAAACAGTCCTACTTCTTGCCGATCAATTGGTAAATAAATTTTGTTTATTATAAAAATATCTGTATTTATTGGACATATGAATATAATTGATAGCTTAAAAGTTAATAAATATTTTATGTCTATCAAAATTAGATATATTAATGTCGTAATAATATCAATAGATGATACTTATATTCCTTTTTTTTTTTTTTTTTACTTGTTTTTCTTTTTACTTTATCACTATTAATCAAAATATATAACTAATTTTGGACGTATTTTGATTGTTACAAGAAATTATTTTGTTAGAATTTTAATTTTGCTACTTTATTATACATTGCAAGAGAGGAGTCTATTTATGTTGCACATTCATGTCTACACTTCGAGATAAAAGGCTAAACAGATAACTTCCATCTTATTATTCTTATATGGAGTTGCTTCAATGTATTTGTGCAGGGTGTTCCTGCTTGAATGCTTTGCTATATGTTCAAAGTTCATGTTGTGATTATATTTGAGTATTTATTACTTCATTTAACAAGGAGAAATATGTCATTATATGCTTTACATTACTGCCAAGAGTCACTTATATACTCTAAATAAATATCTTTTTCCTTCTTAAGATATATTATTATATTACATGATTATGGAATTATCTATAAAAATATATTTCTCAGTATTTTTATATATAGTGTAAAAATCACTAGAAAAAATATAAATATTAGTTAATTTGTTATTTAAATACTTTGTATTTATTTGAAAGCTTTGATTTAGAAGAAATATTTGTATTTAAAAAAAATGAATAATGTATTATCAAATTACCAAGTATTATGTGGCATGCACACAATTATGAGTTAAATTGAATGAACAGTTTATTTATCTCTAAATATATGATCTTTGAAGCATGAAGCATGCACATTGAAACACAGAGTGTACAGTTATAATAACAGTGCTTTAACTTCTCTATTCTGCAGATAAGTAGAACAGATTACATTCACAGCCGCAACTTTATTCATCGTGATATTAAGCCAGACAACTTTCTGATGGGTCTGGGAAAGAAGGGTAATCTCGTCTACATTATAGATTTTGGATTAGCTAAAAAATATCGCGATGGCCGCACACACAAACATATACCCTATCGAGAAAACAAGAATCTGACAGGGACGGCCAGGTTAGAGCTATATCGCTAGTAATATCTTGGTGTATAATAGTTTTCCTCTGACTAATTAATTCGCCATAATAACAGATACGCGAGTATAAACACACACTTGGGGATCGAGCAGTCACGACGGGACGATCTCGAATCTCTGGGCTATGTCCTCATGTACTTCAATAGAGGTAGTCTACCTTGGCAAGGGTTGAAAGCAGCGACCAAGAGACAAAAGTACGAGCGCATTTCCGAAAAAAAGATGTCCACTCCCATAGAAGAACTCTGTAAGGGGTATCCTGGTAAGTTTTTTTTACAGAATGTATCACATATGTAAAGGTATCACATAAGTAAAATCTTTATCTATCATACTTCAATTTCATATAATAAAGCAAATGTTTGATTAATTATTGCAGTAGAGTTCGCGTCGTATCTAAGGTATTGTCGGGATTTGCGCTTCGAGGAGAGGCCGGATTATTCGCATCTTCGACAACTTTTCCGAACACTGTTCCATGGTCAGGGCTTCACCTACGATTACGTCTTCGACTGGAATATGCTGAAATTTGGTAACGCGAGACAACCAACTTTACCTTCCGCACAGCAAGCACCTATGCACTCGCAGCCGTCTAACGCGGCGCTGCCTTCTGGGACCAACAACGATCAAGAACATCGATCAAGGTCGGTGTTTTGCTAAAAAATATCGGCTTTTCTAAACAATTCTTAAGCATTAAACTAGTTGCATATTAGTGTGATTGCATCTTCACACCATGCCTTTTCATGTTTATAAATAGCATGGTCATTTCATTGCTCACAAGCGTGTTCTATTTTCGGCGTCTGGGGCAACGAGAATCGGAAAACTGCCGCTTTGAGCAATGTGAATAATAAGTAATATAATTTAAATGTTTTTTTTATTAGTATTTTATTTCTTTATACTCGAGAAACTAATGAAATGCATATCATCTTATTCAAAGCAAATCTGGTAAATTTAGTTTAACACTAAAGTTTTCAAGAATGATTAGAGATGGATGAGTATAGCGTGCTAAATCCTGTAAAATCACCTATTTTGTCCTCTATTCTATATTATAATACGTTTAATCTTATTATACACACTCTTTATCGTAGTATGTAATATATATCACAATAACTTTTTTTTTGCATTTATCGGTGAGAAATCTATGTTTATCTTTCATTCATATCTGCTTTCAGGCCCTACACGCGGCAATGTTTACCGAACGCGTCCGTAGCGACGGTGGGCCCGACGCTTGGACGCTTGGATCCGACCACAAGTTTGCGAGCAATCCGGCAGAAACGCGAGATGGAGACTCGTGGTGACCAGGACAATCAGGACAAGAATGATCTCCAAGGTAAAATACAATTCTACCAACAATTCTGCGCAAGCCAACAGAATTTCGCTATTGCCGAACGAAAAATGCAACATAATGTGACAGTCGGACACTCGCAGCAGCCTGCGCCTGGCGGCAATGAGACTGCCGCTGCCGCCACTGCGACACGCGTGATAAATCCATGTCAATTCAGTACATTCAAGTCAACTACTACGCCGGTTAATAGGGCGGCACCGCCGCCACCGCCAGACGCGGCGGCTTCTTTAGACCTGACCGGTCTTAATCTGGGACGTAGTCGCGAATTAGGCTCTAATCGTATCGCGGAGGTAAATTCCGCGACTACGTCACGCGACTATTATCAGCCGACAATGAGTAGAACGCGTGAGAGGAGCCCAAACACGGCGTCCCGTCAACTCGATAAACAGAGCTATTTTTTTCATGGGCATAAAACTGAGAAAGACGTAGATCGCAAAGTCGTGATGTTTGAGGATCTAGGAACAAAGGGTACGGATTACGCTCGACTGACGGCGGATGACGCGGACGACACCGCGGCAATTTCGGGCGGCTCGATGAATTGCTTTGGCGGCCTGGATAAAGAGAGAAGCTATGCTGATTATGATAGTGACAAGAAACACAGGTGTCCCGCAACGAGCAACGTACGACATCTTACTGTGACTCACGAGATGCAACGTGACTCAGAAAACGTGGAATTCCTTGAGAAAGAGGGTGAGATCTTTAAGAAAAGTAGTAATGAATTATTGCAGGAGGCCTTCACTAGCAAACGCAGAAATTTCTCTTTTCGCAACAAAGAAAAAACGCATAAGAGTTTGGAGTCGCTCGAGAAAAGTATCAATATACCAGCTGTAGATTGTAAAAGTCTAGATCTTCTACCGGAAGAGCAATCAAAAACTTTTTTCCATAGTAAACAAAGGAGTCTTGATTCGTCGCAGAAGTCAATGAAGAAGTCTGTCGATTCAACGACGGCGAACAAGACACGCAAGTGGCCTAACTTCTTCCAACGAGTCGGCAGAAGCTTGCATTTTTTACCCAGGGAGCGCGAGAAGCGTCAGGACATCTTGAAGCAAGAGGAACGCACCATTAACAGTCAATATCCTCAGACCGATCAGGAGAAATGTGAATATTTTTTACAGAGGCACCAGAAAAATGTTGATTTTTTTGAGTGTACTCCAAGCGCGCTGGCCGATCGTGCTCCCGTCCAGTCCAATCTCGGTTCTTTCGACGAAGTAGATACTGCTGTTGAACAGAATTCCACTAGTCGCCTCAAAGATGCGCATCTCGAGGAGAATACGTTTCGCGTGAAACGAGATTCGAATAATTCTATGAATGTAGATACCGCGGAAGATAATATGAAACAGAATAATTTGGATGCGAGTCAATCGTTGATGCAATCTGACATTTCGGCCAATATCGAATTGACTGTAACAGTGATGCAATCGAGAGTTCCCTTGATCGAGGGTCCAATTGCGAGTGTCACTACGCAAGATACTGTGAGTGGCAACAAAGACAGCTTAGACATCGGATACTCCATCAGCGAACTTGGTAGAATTTATTTACATACTATACAAAACATTGATCATACAGACGGTTTGCGATCTACAGAGAACGCTGCTGACGCGTCGGAGAAACGGAAACGCTACATAGAATGGTTAAAAACGAAAAACGATCAAGACATTTTAAGCCACGGTATTAATTCATGTGATTCTCTGACTCATGGTAAACCGCAAGGTAACTTGGACATTCTTATAAATATCCTACTCGATATTTTCGTCTGGATTTGCATTTGAAAGCAGTTGTAAGGCACTTCTGGGGAATCTTTAAAAAACGAACGCATCCTCTTACATCACGTACCGAGCGATCTCCGTTATATATTCTCGTATGAAAAAATTACAAGACCAAGATTTCGATGGTTGGGTGTGCTCCAGAAATCAAATATTTTTTACAAAGAAGTATGTAGAATGAGCATAATTTTTATACTGAATATTTTTCGTGATCTGCGCATTTCATGCGTATATATATTTTCATACGATATTATATAATAATATTTATAATTGCTATTTATATATTTTCTCTATACACGTCGAATTATCCATGACATATAGTCATACAGTCACATTGAAATCTTGGCTATCTATAAACAAACGACAAGATTGCCTTAGATTACAGGTAAGAGTGAAATTAATTATAGATTACATTGTGGTGATCGTGAAATGTCTCGAGCCAATACGCGATTTTTGTCCTATCATGCAACATATATAATGTACATGTAATCATATATTAGATTTTATAATTTTGTATACTGCGGCTTCTCTCACACATACAAACTGGGTCGATGGCGCTTATTAATGTTTGAGAAACGCGTCGCAAAATTTTAATGTCGTATATTCTTGCCGCATAATAATTACGAGATTGGTTTTGTTTCTGTCCTTATTAGGTTTTACTCTATTTTATTCTCTTACGATAGCGATTGATAAGCATCCACATACCAAATTATTATAATAATTAACATATTATGTAATCATGTGTATGTACATAAATATGTTTTTGTTTCTTTTTTTTTAAATAATCACAAGCTCATTTACAACGACAATATATTCGTCAAGAAAATGAAAAATCAGAGCTTTGGTTTTTAAAGGATCGTAAAAAAACTATTTTGAATAAAATTGCTCAAACAAATATTGTTTATAATTACCGGGGTTGTGTACACCGAAAATTTTTTAATATCTATTATAAGTTGATTTAATTTTTATAGCGATACATTTGTTGCTGCCTATAAAAACTCATCATTTATGTTACGAACAGATTTTATTATCGAGTAATTTCTTTGCATCTTATTTTTCTTTATTTATATTTTCAATAATTTTTTATTATTTGACAAAATTAATTCGGTTTTGGAATGATAATGAAATGAAGGAAGCATCGTGCACAGTTTATAAAATAAGAATGACATTAAGGGATATATTATGGCTTTAACCGTTTTTTATAATTTATTTATTTCTGCTTTGAGGGAGATAATCTTTTGATTGTTCAGACTGACCAAAAGTTAATAGACTGATAACACTTGTCATTAAATATTTTTCGAAGTGCTTGTTCGCAGAAACGTAGATAATATAATTTTTGTGTTGCAGTGTCCTATTTTATTCGTTTTCTAAACTTTTCGCGTTTCTCTTTTTTATTTAAAACTTAGGATTATGTAACATATACACAATCACACACAATATCATTTTATAACATTAAAATTCAGAGATATCAATGTCATACATTATAGAGAAAATATCAATACAATCACTTTTCGTATAAATCAAAATCCATATATAATTGCGAAATTCATTTTTTATTTATCATAAAATCTACGATGCTGTAATCAAGCGATAAAAATCAATTCTACAATTTCTTTCAAATTTCGATTAGTTTATGTGTTCTTTCTTTTATATATTTATATAGATTTAATGAAAAGAAAGGGAAGAAGATTAAGGAGTTTTGTCAATTGATCTTATATCGTTGATACATTGATTTTACATTAATATATTCAAATAGATTGACAATACGTTTAGGCATATAACAATGCAAATGCTAATTTGTTTAATTCGTCTTATACATATATTACGTTAAAAGAAATCTCAATGATATATGCAATCACTTTTCAGCAATTTCATAGCAGATACATGCCTTTCCATACGAACAATGAGAAATAATCTAAAGACTGTTAATTATTTTCATACTTGATTAGAACTCAGGATTGTATCCAAAATCGAGTCTTTGCGATTTGTTACTATTATTAATCATAAAATTCGAAGTATGAAGCATTGGATATTTCTCGCAGCAGGATCAACATGAGACGAATGCTGCTTTTAACATCGTTAATATAAATATATCACACTATTTGTTTCAATTGCATAGAACGCGTTGTTAATTATAATTAGCGTTTAAAAGAAAAAAACGATATTGTGTTCCTTTATTTTAGTCATTGACATTTTCATCATTTAATTAATTGTATCCCGCAACGATTGTGAAGCTTCAACACCAACGTGTTTACTGATAATTAATTAAGCATATACGTATTAGTCTTCGCATACGTGTAACGATACGTTCTGGTGAAATGGAAGAAGTATAGTCTGATGGATGATATATTGATAGCTTTTCACAACTCACAATAGCTTGACTTTTCATTTTTCTAATTAAATGTCACATTATATGGAAGAGCG